GGCAGGGGGCGGGGGGAGGGTGCTTCTCATTTGGAAGTAGAGGCTTTAGGAAGGTGAGGTGTCTGGCCCAAGATGATGGTCCGGCCTCGCCAGAAAACCACACTCTTCCCACCATGTCTGTGTCAGCAGTGGCCTTCTCCCAGAGGCCCTTGATTTGATGGTGAGAGGCAGAAAAGCCACTGGGCTCTCCTTTGCCCTTGGGGAGGGGTCAAATGATGAGGTCCCCTTAACCCTGTTAGGTCATCCTACACCCTTCGCCCCTCGGGGTCGCCCCAAAGCCCCCTACACTGCATCTCTCACCCTATCCCGGCAGGTGGCTTCCTGGGTGCTTTTCACCGGCTGCCTGAGCTATGTCAAGGTGATGCTTGGCGTGATCCTGCGCGACCGGAGCCGCAGCGCCCTCTTGTGGTGCGGCGCGACAGTGCAGCTGGGCTCGCTGCTCGGAGCTCTGCTCATGTTCCCTCTGGTCAACGTGTGGAGCATCTTCTCATCGGCGGACTTCTGCAGCCTGCAGTGCGCTGCCTAGCCCAACTGAAAACGGGGACCCAGAGGGACAAGACAGGGGCCCAGTGTCACTGGGCAAGTGTTGGGGGTCTCGGAGGCAGAGCCTGAGCACTTGAGGCATCCACACAAACTCCCTTCCTTAAGGTGGTTAATTCCACCGGCCTCCCAGGGGCCCTGGAAATGCAAAGCACAGCCCTGCCCCAACCCCGGGTCACAGTGCTCGCAATCCCACTCTTCCAGAACTTCCCTCAACATGCCTGAGAGGGAGCTGACTTGGAGCACCCAGCTGGAGGAGGCTCAGGGGGGCTCTTACAAGCTAGGGGACCTTGGGGAAATCACTTGATTTTGGGGGTGCCTGTTTCCTCACCCATAAAATGGGGATTATAAATAGCACCTACCTCACAGACTTGGCATGCGGATAAAAGAGAGACACCCCCAGTGTATAGCGAAACCACCTGGGCCACTTCCTGATCTGATGCCCAACCACAATGACACGACTGACAATCGACACAGCCTAAAGGGGCCAGAGGGCCTGAGAGATGGCCCCTGCCCCATCTCCTTTTGTCCCTCTATCCTCACAAAGGAGCTTCGAGAAGACAGGCGGCTAATGGTGGAATTTCAGGCATGTTGACTCCCCGATTCCCAGTATGGAGGGACACACTCCTACCATCACCCCTCCTGACCCATGACCTCCTGGAAGGTGGAGAGAGGTGATGGGGGAGGGGCTACACCAACCCCCTGAAAGCGAGTGCTCCCACCCCCAACTCACCAAGGCTGAAAACGACACCGAGGACCCTGGGAAGCAGCTCTCCCAACTAGAGGGAGGAGTATGGGGAGGAGTGTATTAGTTACCTGATTTTTTTTATTTTACTTTTTGTTGTTTTTTAAATAAAGACATTCCCGGCTTTGACACTAAGATCAACCTTCCAAGAGAAAGTCCACCATGAACCCCAAAAATGTATCAATATAATTAGTTTTCAGTCGGCTTCAAGGTCAAGACTGAGCTCAGGAATAAACAAAATCAAGTGCTTAGAGAATGTCTGGACCTGGAATTTCTTTCTTTAGTGGTTTAGTTGGCTTGCTACCACCCCTTCTTTTTAATTTATATTTAGTAGATAACAGAGTCACATGTTTCAAAACTCAGAAAATATAAAATGGTGTTCAGCAAAACAAATTCCATCTTCTCTCCCCCATCTACCCAGTTCCTCTTAACACATGAGCACTTTTTATTAGTCCCTCATTTACCCTTCCAGAGATTATGTTGATGTAAAAAAGTACAAATATAGTTCATTTACAGAAAAAAATATGAACTGTTGTGGACTTTGCACGTTCACTGAGAATGAAGGGAGCACTCTTGTTCTTTGTCATGAGTGCGTAGTACTCCACTATGGAGATGCCAAGGTCATTTAACCAGCCTTCTGCAAGATGTTGGAAGATGCTGACAAAATTTTTTTTAAAAGTCTCCCACTAACCCAGAAAGCCTCTCCACAAAAGTAGAAAACAGCTTTATTGCTGAATAAGCATTAAACCAGATTGTGGTGCGTGGCACAGACAACCCACCAATAAGATGCGAAGGCAGAAAGGAACCCCACCCTTTCACATCCCAGCAGATACGGCCAAGTACATCTGTGTTCTCAGGTTAGCTAGTCATGTAGGAGGGCCGGACACCATCTATCACATCGTTCATCCTGAGTTCACCTGGCCATCGGGGTGGCTGTCAGCTAACTGTCCTTATCCACAGGGAAAAGAAACTTGTATCTTTAGGACAGGAGGTTGTTTTGCAACTTGAAGCCTAGCACTGAAGTTGGGCGCCCACCCTCCCACAGAGACTGGGCAGTAGGGGTGCTAGTTTTCTTAACATTTACAAAGAGATGGCTCCCAGGTCCTGGAGAGAAACATTCCTGGGTGGTAAAATGGCAAGAAGCTTATTCAACATCTAAAAAGACATCTGAAAGGAGCAGAGGAGGAGTCTACAAGTTTTCTAAAGCAAAGGCTCGAAGGAAAGGGAGAAAGGTGTCTCTCTTCTCGGCACAGAAGTTTTTATTTGTATTGGCCTTGACAAGGGCAGGGGGCGGTTTCCAGGCATTCCCTCTCAGGCCGCGCTGGAGTCGATAGTGAGAAGACCTCTGCTCACACGGAGGTGCTCTAAGGTAATTACACACGTGGAGCGCACACGTAGAGGCCCGTGTGCAGCGCGGAGCTGCTCACACTGACACCTGCTGCCAAGGACGAGGTGAGGGGGCGAGTGACTGTATTTGGAAAAGGCACCTTCGCCTGAGGCTCCTCTCTGGGGGTTGCTTTCACTGGCCATCCTGGGCAGTCTCGATGACACTGACATCTTTGAGTTCGTATGCGTGAGTCACCGCTCCTCGGTCTCCTCCCCCGTGCAAGGCAGATGAGAAAGCACACCCCTCCCACTCTGTAAGACCTTTTTATTTTTAAGTTACCTTCTAATGTGTCAGATATATGGCATGAGCCTCCGTGTCCCAGGCCCTGTAAATGGGGTAGTGTGCTAGCAGTGGTCCAGACGGGGAATGACCCAGCCAGAGCCCCCCAGAAAATGGGCCGCAAAGTCAGGGCACAGACCTAGCTCTGAATCCAGGGTTCTTACTAATGAACCGTTGGTGCAAATACCAAGGTACCACATCCCACATTTGTCCTGGAGGAAGGTGGCCCCAAGAACTTGGAAATGTAATATCAGGCCAGGATTTTAAGGAGAGGCCCACAAAGTCATCTGAAAGGAAACTGGCAGGGATTACACCAACAAGCTTCCTCGGAGTTGGTGAGCACTGGAATGCCCAAAGAGGGAGCATCTACCCTGTTCATCCTCACTGATGTCCACCACAGCCACCATCAACTTTATAGCTCTAAAGAGCCTTCCCACTGCCACCCTTCATGGCTGACCACATGCCAGGGCACGGGGCTATTCCTGTGGTCATCTTCTGAAGGTCTCCCGACCCCCTGGGTTCTTGCTGAGACTTTACTGATTTAATTCGCACAGAAGCCCTAAAAATACTTTATTATTATGGTACTATTTTGCAAATGAAAAAACTGAGGCATAGAGAGGTTAAGTATCTTGGCTGAGGTCACACGGTCAGTGAGTGGCAGAACCAGGACTTGGACCCAGGCCTCCTAGGCTCTGTATTACATGATATTTCTGTGTCAGAGACACGAGTCTCGAAGCATGTGAACCAGTCAAGAAAACCTTAGCTTCAGATAGGGATGAAGTGCCTCCCCTGGCTCACTGTCTTCTGGTTTAAAATAGAAATATTGCAAATAGAAATAGAAAACTTCACCCTGGCGGGCAGCTCAGCTGGCTGGATCGTCACCCTGATGTGCCAAGGTTGCAGGTTTGGTCCCTGGTCAGGGCACAGGCAAGAATCAACCGATATACCCATAAATAAGTGGAACAACAAATCGATCTCTGTCTCTCTCCCCTTCCTCTCTCTAAAATCAATAACTTTAAAGAAAGAAAGAGAAAGAGAGAAATAGAAAACTCCAGTCGAGTCCCACGGTCTCTACTCCACCATGCACACACATCTGCACACACAAATCCCTCTGCAGGGGAGAGGAACGAGGGGTGGTGCTTTCGTAGGCAGCACGCGATCCACACACGGGCTAAGGGAATCACTTTAAGAAGGACACGTAGTGGGGCTGAAACTCAGCACAGGTTTGTCATACACCCTGCCTTGCGATTCTGGTTTTGCAATGGGGTGGCCTTTTCTGATTCAATGATATTTATCAAAGGTCAAATCAGGGTAAATACTGGTGTTGCCAGGACTCTGCCTTTCATTTGGAAATTGCTGGTTGAGCAGCTGGCTTCTAGGTGTGTCTTAAGAAAGTTGCTCGATTACAACTTGCAGTTTGGCCTAGGAGGGTGTCCTCTCACAGAGGTCAATAGTTAGAGTGTAATAAGATAAGATACAGAACTTGCTCTCTTGGTAAGGAAAAAGTGTTATTGAAAGAATGAAGACAATGCAACGAACAGCACTGCTAGTTGCTATAATGTCCTCTCCTGTTTCTTTCATAGTCATAGAACCCCTGGCTTTTAGCTGGGCACAGGGTAGCCCAGAGTAAAGAACACATTCCCCAGGCTTCCTTGTGGCTAAGAATGGCCACGTGTTTCCATTCAGGCAAACATTACCCGGAATAATGTGTATGACTTCTAGGTTGTGTACTTAAAAGGCAGACACAGGACCTCCACTTCCATTTACCCCTTGATAGTGGTGGAAATGCAGACGTGGTGGCTGGGTCTGGAACAACTATCTTAGACCATGAGGAGGAAGCCAGGGGTTGAGAATAATACAGGAAAAATATAGAAGGAACCTGAAATCATGATTGTGGAGCCACAATTCCTACTAGGACCCAGATTTAATGTGACAGAGAAAAAAGCTTCTATGTGGTTTAAGTTTCTATAATGTGGGGGATATTGTTATAACAGCAGAAGTCCCATATTTTTAAATGTATGTTTATATGTATGTATAGATGCACACATATACTCACACACATACAATCACACAGAAAGAGGCCTGGAAAGATATATATCAAAATGTTAGCCTAGTTAATCTGGAGAGGGATTTCTGTGGGGGTTTTTTTTCTTCTTCTTCTTCTTCTTCTTGATATTTTGCTGTACTCTGATTTTTTCTTCAAGTGTGTGTTATTTCGAAACTCAATAAAATAGCCTAAAGAAAGGAAGGGTCCTATAAATAGATCCTATTGTTTAAATCACCTTTTTTTTCCATTCTCCAAAGGTCTCACACACACACACACACACACACGCACACGCACACACACTTAGATCTTATGGAATATTTGGCTTTGTTTCCTGTGGGTTATAGAGCTTTTTTTTCAGATGTCCTTTTTACTGAACAAAATGTCTTGGGGATGGTTCCATGTCCCCATGTACAGGGTGACCTTGTTTCTTATAACCAGCACAAAGCACTTTCTGAATGGGCTTTACTGAATGGTCCCTGTTGATGGAAATCTATACTGTTTCCAATTTTAAGCTACTGAAAAAAACAC